AATTATGCGTAAATGTACATGGACATTTCTTACCTGTTGAAAATCAAGTGGGGGAAAAAGTGGAAAATTTAAAAATATTAAAACACTTAAAAAGTCATTTTGCCTTACCAAGGCACTATCTGTAATGAGACAGAGAGCCTCCTTGCATGTCTTCATCCTTAAAAACAGTTTACCTCCCTCCACACATCAGTTACCAACTTATCGATGAGGGCCCCGGATTACCAAAACGTAGTTGTCAAAAACTATTGTTGGAATATTTTTCTATAAAAGTCAGTTTTAATTTTCTCTTCATGGCATAGAATCGAACACCTATGCACACCTTCATATCATATCACACATGACATAACATCACTGTAATATGCTCAGTAATAGCATTGAGTGAAATAATTTGTAAATGAGAAATAGTTGTAAAAATACATTGTTGTTTTGTAGTTGTTACAAGAAATGCTTTATAGCCGTTCTGCTTGAAGTTCACATCATCTCTGGCATTTTCTTTTAGACACTGAAACTGCCGCTGATAATTTGAGCCTCGAGACAAACAAAGTCACAAACCCACAGACACAAAAAGGTAAGAAGAGCTCTGTGAACGTGTTAGTCTGCAGTCCTCTGAGGCTGCTGCGTGCGATATTTATACCTAAATAGCAATCTGCTGTTAAACCAAAATTGACCTGTGGTAACAGCTAGATGATAAGTTAACTCTTAAAATGCTACTCTACAATATATAATGTGTATATGCTACAATATATGTTCTGTTAGTTTCTTTTCCAGATAAAGATGAACCCTCCTTTCACACATTACACTCTACTTTCATTGACAACAATACTCTGCAGCCTATATATGGTGACTATTCATATTTTAATTCTTTACTATATTATATTGTGTGAAGTATTTTACACACATTTTCTCACACAAGTTTGAAACGTAAATTAAAGCTGACTGTTATGAGAAATTGGCAAATACAATTCCTCTGTTGCTTCAGACAAACTATTTACCTGCAAGCAACATCAACCTGCTTAAAAGCCTGTTTTTCACTTTTGTTCAGTGTTGGTTTCACTTGTCCAGATTTTTACATTTTTGCTTTTCAACCCTATATGAGCAGGACCTTGGCTTGTAGTTAGTGTTTCTGCCTCAGTGCAGGAGGATGTGCACCTTGGTATCCAATCCACTTTATGCAGCTATTTAAAACACATCCTACGCTAATGCTGCATAAACTCCACAACAGTTTTCCTGATTAAGCTAAAACTTTATATATGAATATGTGTTTTAAAAATAGAATCTGGATTATAGTGTACAGATTGAAAAAATAACTTACTCTAATACTTAGCCTCGATAATAAAAAACTTGGCATCTCAAGCGTTAAGCATCATATCAATGCTTAGCACAAAGAAAATATTGTAGAGGTTTCAGTACCACAAGTCCTTTCCCATTAGAAATAAAAATGTTTCCATTGTCAACTACCAGTGACTGAAGTAAGCCTGTTCCCGTCAGGAAAGGGGGAAAAAAAACATGGTTCAAAAGTCTAAGGGGCTTGGAAAGAAAGGTGTTTCTTTAAGTTACTTGAAGACATTTTTGACACCCGTTTCCACACCTTGGCTCATGTGATTAGGCAGAGCATCACTAGGGGGTCATGACCCTCTTAGGGACACTCCCAATAGGGCTTAAACATGGGACTCTCCACTAATTGCTCTCAGAACTGAAGAAGCTTCTCGGATGAGAGATGAAACGTCTTCAACAAACTTGAAGAAGTCCAGTTGCTTTTCTTTCCAAGCTTAGGCTACGATGACCTGGATGACTGAGAACGTTCACAGACATGGTTCAAATGTTAAAAGTGTATATAAAAAATGTATGCATGTTCTAAATAATAGGAATCAAATATCAGTTTTATCCTATGTTTCGTAACATAATTTCAGTTTTTTAAATATTATATATACAAAGGTTTGTAATTTTGGTTATTTCCATAGATTCTGTAGATTCAGGAGAATGCAGCTTCATGGTGCAAGCTACTCTGTCAGATCCAGCTTTAACGCCTCAGAAATGCCAATATTCTGCAATTAAGTGGTGAGGTATGGGATTCTTTTGATATTTTGGTTGTTGTTTCTTTTTTAGTCCATTTCATGATTGTAAACCCAAAGAAGTCAGCAGAACTGAT